AGTCGCCTCATCCTCAGCTCTTAAAGTGCGCATCTGGCCTGGGCCTCGTTGCCCTGTCCCCCTCCTCTTTGGGGGCAGGCCTCTTTTCTGGGATTGGGGGCCTGAGGGCCTGAACTGGTTTTGCGGAAAAACCTGGCGGGGCGAACTCTCACTGCTTGCGGAGCGTGACCATTCGCCGGACTTCCCCCCCCCCCCCCCCCCATCCCCCCCCCCCCCCCCCCCTCCCCCCCCCCCTTCTTTTCCACCCTCGTCCCCCCCCCACCCTCCCCCCCCCCCCTCCCCCCCCCCCCCCCCCCCCCCCACCCCCCCCCCCCCCCCCCCCCCACCCCCCCCCCCCCCCCCCACCCCCCCCCCCCCCCCCCCCCCCCCCCCCCCCCCCCCCCCCCCCTAACAACCAAGCCTAACTTCCCCGCTCCATTTCAGCTACGTGAGGCCTGATCAATATGGCCCTCTCACGGTTGCTGCTATATGCGTGAGGCCTAATCATGATGGCTCTCTCACTGAATGTTAAGGCTCGCTGAGAGCAAGGGCTGAAGACAATTGGGGAGGAGGGAAGAGGTATGGGGGGATGAGCACAACTAGGAGGCTTGGGGTTTCACGGATGAGTTTCACGCCCATTCTAGGAACAGGAAGAAACAAAAACAGTACACGAGGCCCACCTCCCTGGGCGGTGCCTCGGTATGGAGCATCGAGGGCGCCGGGTGGTCTCTCGCCACCGCCGCGCGCGTCATGGATGTGGGACTGTTCGCGCAACTTGGCACGCTGGGAGGAGGGAGGTGGTAGAAAGAATCATGGGAGGAGGGAGGAGGGGAAGCAATATCCCACCGTCGCAGGGTGCGGCATAAATGTCGTGCTCGGGAGCTCTCTCATCCTCAGGCGGCACGAAACCTATTGCAGAAGGCCCTCCTCCTTCCCAGCCCCTCCTAGTAGTTCCCCCCCTTCCCGCCCATTTCAAGCAGAGCCCTGGCTGTGGCCAGGGGCGCCCGTCGCCTGCTCTGCTGCTGGAGGATGGTGAGGGGGAGGGAGAAGTGAGGGGTGGGGGTCAACTCCAAAAGCTGGTGGCGCGGCGCGTGCCTCCTACGAGGCCACCCCGTGGAACTCGTTCAGCTTCTGGGGGAAAGTGAAGCCCAGCTCGTTGAGTGTCGCCCCGTTCAGGGCCGTCTGGTAGAAGCAGCCCTCGATGACCAGCATGCCAGGGTCGGCGATTTCTTTCTCGCATGGGGCGCCATGGCCCACTCGCGACAGGATGGCAGTGATGAGCGGCAGAAGGCCGCCCTGCAGCATCGCCTTCTTCTCCTGCTGCTGGTGCTGCTGCTGCTGCTGCTGCTCCTGGCCCTCGGCGTCCGCCTGGAACCCGCGCCCCTCTTCTCTCGCGGACTTCCCAAGGCTGGAGGCCTCCTTCAAAGGCCCCGTGTCCGATTGCACAGAGGGGTCAACCACGCCGTCGAGGGAAGCATCCGCAGGCCCTTCTTCTGGACTCGTCCCTTTAGCATGGTTAAACTCGATTTGCCCAACGATGTTCTGCATCTGCTCCTGCTCAATCGATAAGGGAAATTCCTCAGCCTCCGCGAAGGCAAAGGTCTGGCTGTGCTTGTTGACCGTCTGCACAGCCTTATCCACACTCATCTCGCCGGTACCGAAAGAATGCTCCGCCAACGTCTGCGTGCTAGCCTGGTCCAAAAGATCTCCGTCGGTGGACGAGTCGGACTCCTTGAATGAGGCCTTCTGGGACGGGTGCTTGGCAGCGTTGGCAGCTCGATTCAATTTCCGCACTTGATTGGCAAGATGTTTTGGCACCACTCTGCGAAGGGCCTCGTACGCCTTCCCCGTGTTGTCGAAGGTTGTGTCGAGCATGGTGCCAGCGATCCTCTGTACTGCCATCGACGAAGCCACGACTGGGACGTCGTCGGCAACCACTGCTGGAACAGCCACATGCTCCCAACCTTTGATGTCTGGGGTCGCCATCGTACGAATGACGGCTGATGCAACCGCTGCTGCGACCTGACGTGAGGTTCCTCCACGAATTGTGCCCTCCATGAGTGCAGAAACAATACTATCCATTGAGCGAAAGGAACTTATTTCCAGCAACTGGGGGGACCGTGCCTAAAATGGCTTGAGCCAAAATGGCTACGGACCTCCTGCTCCCCCTCCTCCTCCTTCCCCTCCTCCTCCTCCTCCTCCTCCTCCTCCTCCTCCTCCTCCTCCTCCATCTCCTCCTCCTCCTCCTCCTCCTCCTCCTCCTCCGCCGCCGCCTCCTCTGCCTCCTCCTCCTCCTCCCCTCCTCCTTCTCCCCTCCCCCCTCCTCTCCTCCCTCTCCTCCTCCTCCTCCTCCTCCTCCTCCTCCTCCTCCTCTCCTGCTCGTCCCCCCCCCCCCACCCCA